CGCGGCGGCGCGGCCGTCCCGGGCCCAAGCCCGGGTGTGGCCTCCCACGGGAAAGGTGCCCCAGGTGTCCCCCGGGCTGGAGGAACCGCGGGCCCGTCTCCATCCTGAGTCTCCCTTCCCTGTTGTCACCTCAGAGCAGCACCTTCCTCTTCCAGGCACCCCCCCCCATCCTTTTCTACGAGGCTCGGGGTCACCGGGGAAGAGGGGAACTTTGGTGTCCCCTTCCCCCACGAGCGGCACGAATCCCCCTCGAGAAACTGCAGATGGACATTCTAAGTGAACACCAGGGTGCTCGCTCCACGAATGTCATTTCAAGGCAAGTCCTCTAGCTCTCTGTCCCCTTCCCACAGACTCACTGCCTCTGCACAGAAATTCTAGATTCTTCATCCTACACCCCTCTTTCTGCCTCTGGAGTGTGGGCTGGGCAGTTCTCCAGCCTGGGGCTTGCCCCTTGCCCCCCCCACGGGTCCCCTCAGCATCTTCAGAGACCACATTTGAGTGTCTTTCTCAGTCCCCTACCCATTGTCTCCCCACCCCCACCTGGGACTCACTGGAGCTGGTAGGTAGACCCCCCCCTTATGGGGGGGAGGTAGAAAATACTCCCCCTCATCTGCACCCCCCTATCCCCCGGGTCCCCAGCGGGACTGATCACCGCCCTGTGTCCTCACTGCACGGTATCTGTGTCTGTCGGGTCCCTCATCACCGCCGGCATTTTCCACGGTGATGTTGGTGCCTGGCTCACCACCCCCGCTGGACTGTGAGCTCCTGGAGGACAGGGGTTCCACTCAGCCCTGGTCCCCACCCAGGCCAGCCCCCTGGGACCCTAGCGGATCTGCCACCTCTGCCACCTCTGCCGTCTCTGTGAAGTTGTTCTGTCAAGATCCCGCCGTGAGGGGAAGAGGCTCCCAGCCCTCTCCCTTTGCGGAGAGAGACACAATGAGTTAGGAAAGGCTGTTTTTCTCGGAGCGACTTGCCAAATGGTGAGGACAGTACATGCTCTGCGGTGACGGCACAGCCTCTGGGTCCTCTGGCAGGGAGGGTAGGGTGGGCCCTCTCTCCATGCCCTCCCCACCCGCTCTGCGTGGGAGGCGGGAGGTGGGGACCTGTACCGCGGGGGGCCTGGCTGTCCCCTAAGGTCTGTACGAGCTTAACTAAGTCGCTTGGTTTCTCTTGGTCTTGGTTGGTCCTAATGGAATCTGAAAGAAAATCTCTCTGCTCCTGGGAGGCCCTCAGGGTCTGGGCCCGCCTTCTGTCCCCAGCAACTCTTCCTTAGCGGGACCCAGGCCGCCCTCGCTGGCCTCCCAGGTAGAGTCCAGCCCCCTGACCCGACTCCACGCGCAGAATGGCAGTTATCTGTTTCCGGAGGCCTCCCCGCTAGGCTGGGCTCCTGGGGGAGTCGGTGCTGAGTCACATTGCTGTGTATCTTGGTGACTGGCAGGTGCTCAGGGAGCTCTGTGTCTGTTGGATAAATGGTGGGAGGGTCGGCCCAGGTGGGTCCCAAGTTTGCGCCGCTCCATTCTCAGGGGGCCCCACCTTTCCTCCCTCCTTATCTAGAGGCCTGTTTTAACGCCAGGCAGATGCTCCTCACCATCCCACCCGGTTCAGCCCTTTCTCCTTGGCCTCCGAGAAGAGCCAGTCATGGAGGATGTGGAGTTCTTTGTAGAGATGACAAGAGGAAATGTCTGCTGCTTCGAGATCCTGCTTTGCTGCTTTTGGGAAGGACGCCGGGGGCCATGTGTCCTATGAGGGAATGACAGCCATCTCACCCCTGCTTCCTTAGCCATGGGCAGGAGAGGCGGGCAGCCCAATACCAGGCGGCCGGTCCACAGTGAGCGGTCCCATGCTTGCATGCCACGTCTCTGAGATGTCATCCAGTAAACCCATGGCAAATCCTTACCTGGTTTGCTTTAAAACCTGGGGCCTTGGCCCCATCTACTCAAGGCGTCTTACAGAAAAATTTCTTTTAGAATGTAGTGCCAGGCAAATTTGCCTCCCCCACGGGAAACTAGATTGCTCCCTCCTTTGATAATGAGAGGGAGAGTGGGGAAGAAAAGCATTTCTTGTTTGTGCACTGTGCACACACACTGTGTGCATGGCCTCTCCTGTGCACACTGCAGGTTAGTTTTCTTCCCCTATTTCCCCAGAGATAGAGGTTGAGAAACAGGGAGGTCAGGTGATTTGCCCAAAGACTGTCTGGGTTCGTGCCCAGTTCTGCTTCCCATGCCTGTTCCCCCATGGTCTTTTCTGACTGCTTCGGTCCCCTTTTCTCCCTGGCTGCTAGGAAGCTCGGCGCACATGCTGTTCCATCTAGCAGGTGTATTCCCCTACCTTCACGGTCAGCATACTTATTTCTACTTTCCATTCCTGTCTGTGCCTGTGGGTGTGTGTGCTTACGTGTAGATCTATCTACTTACATTCTTTGTAAGTCACCGCAAGAGGTTTCTGGAAAACTGGACAGATAAGTGAGCTGAATACAGTAAGTAACACTGCACCTAAAACTTAGGCCAACGCACAGTGCGGTGAAGGAGGTGTGCTCCACAGGGGACACAGTGCCTGTGGTTAGTGCTGCCTAAACAGCAGGCAGAGTTCAGAAGAAAAGACGCTCTTTCTGGGAAAGGCAGTCGGGGTTGACTTCCTGGAAGAGGTGGGATTTGAAGAGGCCTTAAAGAGTAGGCGGAGTTTTGATAGCCTCAGCACCTGTGGAGGGCGCAGGACTTAGAGTGTAAAATCTGGGGTTATGGCAAAGGCCCCCCCCCACCAGAGCAGGTCTTTTGGGGCGAAAGGAGAGCATTGGTCTGTGGGATAAAGTAGGGGGCCCGGTGATGTCTTTTTCAGATCCCCTCCAGTCTTGATGGAGGGCCTGGGGACACTGGAGCTGGGAGGGCCGCACCCTGTTAGGGATGAGAAGGATGAGGAGCCGAGGCCAGCAGAAGAAAAGTGGCTTGCTCCTTGTGCCTAGGACCCAGGTCCCTAGAATGCTCATTTAGTGCTCGCTCAGGCTGAGGACGGCCGGCAGCCCTGTGCAGTGGCCCTTTTTTTTCCTGTAAAATGGGTTTGAGGTACTGAATCGTCACCTCCAGCCCGGCAAACACCATGACAAAGCCCTCGCAAAACCTTTAGGGCCGCAGACATTAAGAGCATGTTGGCAAGGAGAGCTGACGTTCACTTAAATGACTCGTGATGACGACCGGCCTTGCCGGAGGACAGCGAGGAAATGAACCCACAGGCAGGGTTCCAATAACACGGATCGGAACCCAAGCAACAGCCCTGCAGAAGAGCATGGCGAGAGCAGCTTCACACCCTCTCCTTGCCGCCCCGGACTCTGGCGCCCGTCACAAAGCTCTGCCTCGGTGCCCGCGCCCTGCGGTCCGTCCCCTGCTATGGGGGAGACGGGGAGGAGTGCGGGGTGCAGGGCAAAG